GCTCGCCCGCCCTGCGCGCTCGCCGGGGCCGGGTCCGCGGCGAGAAGCGTGACCTGCTCGATGCCCCCCCCTCAAAGGCTTCCCTGTTCTGCTTCATTCCAGGCTCGGCCCGGCTGACTCCGTAAGTGCTCGATCGGATTCAGGCGGCCTCGGGGCCGTGAGCGCCACCGCGCGCCCACCACGCTGTGTGGCAGATTCGTGCGCCGTGGGGCTGGAGGGCATTTTTTCCTCTCGGACTCCGGCAGGCTTACTTGCATGGCATTCCCTCCCCGCCCCCTTCGCCGCCCTTTCAGGCAGCGCTGGGCCGCAAAGGCTTGGAAGTGAGGCCTGACCTTCGTGAACTCCAGGATTCCTCAGGCGGACCTCGCTACGCCCCCCCCCCTCCCCTCCACCCTCCATGCAAGTGCGCGCCGGTCGCTGAAAGTAGGCCTTTCGGGAGGCCCAAATCTCAACCTATTTGGGGCGACTTCTGCTTCGAGGGTCGAGCGGTTTTCCCTCTCCCCTCCCCTTCAGGGGACGGGCGGAAGCCCTGTCTACTTCCAGCGCCTTCCTCCTTCATGCTTCTGCCCACTTCTGACCGCCAGGTAAACTCGGCAGTATCTCGAGAAGCATTCCCAGGCATGCGACGCCCTGCTCTCTTTCCGGGCGGCGTCCCCGGAAGTCCCGACCCCTTCCCCAGGGCCAGCTTTTTTCGTCCCGAGTCGTTCCTCGATGGCCCCAGAGGGCCCGGCGGAGGTCCCCAGGGGCCGAGAGCACGGAAAAACCCCCAGCCTTGATTTTCTTGGCGCTTGGCATCGCTCGGACGTGTGCATTTTTCCTTCGGCGAGGACCATCGAGGAGCATCCTCGATCATGTGGCGAAAAAGCCAGGGAATGGACGTCCGAGCGATGGCGAGTGCGACGCGGGCATGTCTGGGTTGCCTCCTGCTCGGCCCCCGCGGTGGGCCCCGCTCCCCGCCGCCGTCCGCCGCGCCCCCCTTGCAGAGAGCCATGGGCGCCGGCGGCGCATGAGCGCGGGCGGCCCCCAGGCCGGGCCGGGCCTGGCCGGCTCAGGGCGAGGCGGGCCCTGCGCAGGGGATCTGGGCGCCCGAGAGGAGTACGGAAAGAAGGGGTACAATGCCCAGCAGCATTTCTTGTTCCTTTTGAACGGGACTCGCTGTCCACGCCGCCGCGGCCTGTGTCCATTCGAGGCAGAAGGCCGCCTGCCCAACAGCGGCCGCTGTTGGTTTGGGACAACATTTGCTGTTGGGCATTGTACCAATTTCTTCCGTACCCATTTCGGGCGTGCAAAGCAGGGGAGGGGGGGGAGGAGTGCAGTGGGGAGCTCTCGGATCCCAGACCCCCTCGAGCCACCAACAAAAGCACGGCGTTTTTCTCGCTATTTTCGGTCCGCGGTGGTTCAAAGGTGGTGTCCTGAGGGATGGGGTCCGAAGGGTAGGAAGGGATCCCAGGGTGGACGTATGTCGTTCGAGGCACAGTGTCCTTAGGATCCCATCCCTCGGGACCCCCTCTTCGAGCCACCGATCACGGGGGCCTCGGGACCGCTAACGAAGCGACTCGGGGTGGAAAGCTGGCCCTGGGGAATGGGTCGACACCTCTGGGGGTCGATGTTCCGTCGGGGGTCTGGGATAGGAGGAGAAGGAGGAGGAGGAGGAGGAGGAGGAGGAGGAGGAGGAGGAGGAGGAGGAGGAGGAGGAGGAGGAGGAGAGGAGGAGGAGGAGGAAGGGGAGGAGGGGGAGCAGGAACAAGGAGGAGGAGGAGGAAAGGAGGAGGAGAGAGGAGGAGGAGGAGGAGGAGGAGGAGGAGGAGGAGGAGGAGGAGGAGGAGGAGGAGGAGGAGGAGGAGGAGGCGGATACCGTGTCGCTCCGCCGGTTCTGGCCCACCACGCTTCGGCGCGACGCGCTATGCACTTCCAGGTCCTCCGGCGACGGCGCCCGGTGAGCCCTTCCCGTCATCCCCGCCCCGCGGGGCCGCCGCGGCACGCCAGCCGCTCGCAGGGTGCAGCGTGCCGCGGGGGCCGCCGCCGCGACGCGCGATCCAGAAGTTCCCGATCGCAGGAGAGAGGGGAGGGGGGGAGGAGATGTCGGAGGAGAAAAAGATACGGATACGTGTTGTCCCCCTTCGTTTTCGGCCTTTCCTGGCCCTCCTGGGGAATCCTCGTTGTCACCGCTGGATTCGCCTTGAAATTCTGGTCAGAACGCACCCCAAGAGAGGTCCGGGGTCAACACTTATCCGTATCTTTCCGCCCCCCAAAAGATGGGGAGGGATGGGGTGAAGGGGGTGCGGTGGGGTGCGTTGGTTGAGGAACGTGCCCAGGAGGCTTCAGACCCTGGAGGATCTCTTGTCTGACGAAGGCGGCGGTGATGTCCATGGCCAGTCCACGATCGGAGTTGCACCGGCGTCTGGACCTTGGATTCCTTATCCAATGGTTCCTTATCCAATACCCCCACCGTAGGGGCAGACAAGGATGGAGCACAGCTGGTTTTCCACATGCGGCTCTTGTGTTAGCGGCGCGCACATTCGTCTGGAAAGCTTGCTGCTCCTGCATTGTGGTCCAAACGGGTCTCTTGCCTCAGCTCAGCGCGCGCTCGTCCTGCAGGCCTGCACGAGCCACGAGGATGAACCACGTGCGGTCTTTAGAACGGGGCTTTCGCTTCAGCGCCGCGCGTGTCTGCTTAAGAAGCTTGCCATCTTCACAGGGGCTGGCACGTGGCGCATTCCGTTTGCACTTGGTTGTCGCATTCTGTTTGCACTGGCTGGCGCTGCTGCGATTGACCGTTCAGCTGGGCATCGTTGGCGGGCGCGTTGTGGTTGTCGTGTGTGTGTGGGGGGAAAAAATCTTCACAGGGCTGGGACACATGGGGCTCTGGTTTGCGACCCCGTCGGGCTCACAGAGCAGAAGAGGCCACCTCTGTCGCAGCTGCACGGGCGGAGGGTGTTTTCCCAGGTCAGAACTGTGACCTCGCCTGCGACGTCCTCGACGCCGCTCCTGGCCATGCTCGGCGTAAAGTTGTGCGCCTGTTACATGGATTGGTGTGCTGTCCTTTTTTCACATCGGTGGACATGACGTCGAATTGTACGATCGCAAGTGTTGGCGTTCTTGATCCTGCGCTGGGGGGATACAAGGCGGTTCCCTTTCACGATGGTGCGGGCAATATGTATATCCATATCCAGTGCGTCTTGGCCTTTCTTGGAAGGGGCGCCGCAAGGCCGAGGCGCACTGGATATGGATAAACATTGAGCCTTTTGGAGGCAGATCATAATCCATATCCAGTGCGCCTCATGTTTCTTGGGAAGAGCGTCCGAAACTCCAAGACGCACTGGATGTGGATAAAGGCACTGCCCGCATATGGGGCTCTCGCCCGAATGGCATGCCCGTGCGGTCCTGGTGTGTCGAGGGGACGCTTCTTGCAGTAAAAAAAAGATATGCTTGCAGGGGCTCGTGGGTACGGGAGCTGGGATGGGAGGGCGTGTTGCAGCATCGCTGACTCATTGTGGTTTTACTCATGCCATCCCCCTCCCTGGTCCTCTTGCCTTCCTTTTTTAGCTTTCTTCCTTACATACTTTTCTCCCTCCATACAAGACTCTAGGGTTGAAGTGCATTGGACTGGCGTGGGCTGAAGCTGACTGGGTCGGAGTAGGCTTGCCTGGACCGGGGTGGGCACTCCTCAACCCTATTCTTCTTTACTCTATGATGCATGGCTCTATTCCTGAATCCGTCTATTCTACCCTTCTCTATTCTTCTCTTCTTTACCCCACCTACCCTACCCTACTCTAGCCTACTCTACTCTACCCTATTATGCCCTGCTCTCGTCTACTCTTGCTCTATTCCATCCTTAGTCCTTTTTGGTGTATGCTCCCTCTCCGCCACCTAGCCGGCCGACGGCAACCCAATACAGGGGGTCCCATCGTTTTGGTTAGTGTCAGCATGGGCACGTCATCATCTTGCTAAGTCAGCTCTTGTTCGTTTAAGTCAGCTCTTGCTGGCTCACCTCTTCGCATTGGCATCCTCGCCATCCTCCTCCTCACCCTCCTTGTGATCATCGTCGTCCTCATCGTCGGCGCCCCGCCAAGCACCACGACGTCAAACAGCAACGTATGCGTGCCCGCAATTGAGGCCTAAGTGCATCAGTGGTCGGTCGGACCCTGGGGTCAGCACCCGTTACGTCGATACGTCGTTGATTCGTAGTCCGAGGGTCGATACGTCGTTGAAGGGGTCCGAGGGTCGATACGTCGTTGATTCGTAGTCGTCCGTCGTCGCTGACGGGCGGTCCGAGGGAGGGTCCGGGGGGTCGATTCGTCGTCGATTCGTCGTCGCCGAATGTGTCCGATGGGGGGGTCGACAGGGGGGGGGTGTCCGAGGGATCGATTCGTCGTCGCCCAAGGGGGGGGTCATTCTTGTCATTCGGGTCAGCTTGGCACCCGCCGCGCTGGGAAGCTTATTCGTGCTACTCGGGCTACTTGGGCTACTCGGGCTATTTGGGTAAACCCAGTCAGGGACACGCCTTGCCGACGCACTGCTTGTGTTACTCTGGTTTTCCTCCTCTCCCGGTCTCCGCCTTCTCTCGCCTCCTTCTTCTCCTCCCCTCCTCCTCCTCCTCCTCCTCCTCCTCCTCCTCCTCCTCCTCTTCCTTCTCCTCCTCCTCCTCCTCCTCCTCCTCCTCCTCCTCCCTTTTTCTTCCTTCTCCTCCTTTGTCCTCCTCCTCCTCCTGCTCCTCCTCCTCCTCCCTTTTTCTCCTCCTCTCTCCTCCTCCTTGTCCTTTCCTCCTCTTCCTCTCTCCTCCTCTTCCTCCTCCTCCTCCTCCTCTTCCTCCTCCTCCTCCTCCTCCTCCTCCTCCTGGCGGCGCTCTCGTCCGAGGTCGTGTCGTGGGCGGCAGGGGCCCTTGACTGCGCCGCCAGCTCCGGCAACTCTCGCTGCCTCCTGCCCCTGGCCCTCCTCGAGGCCCGGAGAGGCCCCCAAAGGGCCCCCACCGGCCCCCTCGAGGCCCCCCCGCGCGCCAGGCTCAGCGGGAGGCCGCTGGAAATTGCCATGACCGCAGGGGCAAGGCGCACGCGGCCAGCCTCTCTGCCGCCCCGCGCGCCAGCCCCCGCTGGACTTTCCGAGGGGGGAGGATCAGGGGCAACGACAGGGGGGGGCATAGGCGTACCGGGAAGATCGGAACGGGTACGGAAAGGATGGGTACGAAGACCGACAGCAGTTCCCGCTCATTCTGAGCATGACTCGCTATCGGTGCCGCCGCGGGCGGTGTCCATTGGAGACAGAAGGCTGCCTGCCCAGCAGCGACCGCTGTTGGTTCTGGGGCCATTTGGTGTTGGTGCCCACTCGGGGCGTCCAAAGCGAAGGGGGGGGGGACGCATCGCTCCCCAATCGCCCATGGATCGCCGATAGGTGCTCGATAGCCCGAGCCTGCCCAGGAGCGTGCGGATTTACCATCCGGGGCCTATCGCCGACCAGTCGGCGATGTATTGCCGATTCTAGGTCGATGTGCTCCCCCCGATGCCAGTCCCCCCCTACCGATGCCCCTCACAGGGAGAGGGGAGGGGTGGGAGAGAGGAGGGCCCAGGACCCAGGACCCTCCGCGCCGACAGAGCGTCACGGCGGGAGTTTGTTGAACTTTCATGTCGGAAGAATAGGTTTTGTCGACGACTTCTGTCTGGCGCGCATTGTTCTTCCATTGACCCCCCCGTTTGAGCTCGCGTCCTGATTTTCTACCAGGGGAAGTCAACAGGCTCAAACTGCGCTCTTGGCCCCCGGACTACCGCAACAACGGCTCCGCCCGCTGGTGCAAGCTCGTGGTTTCACAATGTATGCAGGACGGCGCTCTCGCCCAGGGCTTCCCTGCGAATTACTCAGGCGCTGCGCTCCCGACGCCCAGGAACCGTGCTCTCGGGCGAGATTGTCTCACAATTTTCTCAGGACTCGTGCTCTCGCCTTATCGGGGGTGGACAGACCTCCTACCCTGACACGTCGATTAAGGAATTGGCCGTTTTCGGTTCGCGAGAGGGCGTCGCGGCCGTCATTTTTGCGGGTCCAGGTCCGTCGGTTTCGGTCCCAGGCCGTTTTCACTAAGGGGAGGTTTACTAAAGGGAGGTTTTTCCACCGCCTTTAGGCTTTCCTTTAATTTGCGGAATTCGTTTCAATGTCCCGTCAGCCGGACCCCCTGTTATGGCCCGCCCGCCCAACCCGCCCGTCAGGGTCCGCCCGTTCGCCCACTTGGAAGCCAGCCCGCCCGCTTCAATGTCCCACATGACCCGCCCGCTAGGATCCGCCCGCCTGGCCCCCTCATCAGAGTCCTCCTTCCCGGCCTGCCCGTCAGGGTCTGGCCGTTCGCGTGGTTGGAAGCCTGGCAGCCCGATTTGATGCCTGGCCCGCTCAACACGGCCTTTGGGATTCGCCCGTCCGACCCGCCCGTTGGCGCTAGCCCGGCCCTCCGGGTCCGCTTGCCAAAATTATGGTTCCTCTCTCCTCCCCCTCCTTCTTACCTTCGTTTTCTTCCTCTTAGGTTTCCCTCCTTCTTCTTCTCATTCTCCTCCTCCCTCTCTTCGGTCTCCTTGCTTTTTCCCAAACAATCCTGTGGTGTTGGGTCCTCGTTTTGAAGAGGCGGTGCCCCGCGTTCCTCTCCTCCTCCTCTCCTCCTCCCCCTCCTCCCTCTGCCATCATCATCATCATCATCATCATCATCATCATCATCATCATCATCATCATCATCATCATCATCATCATCATCATCATCATCATCATCACATCATCATCATCATCATCATCATCATCATCATCATCATCATCATCATCATCATCATCATCATCATCATCATCACCCATCACCATCACCATCACACACCATCACCATCACATCACATCACCATCATCACCATCATCATCATCACCATCATCATCGTCATCATCATCATCATCATCATCATCACTTTCACCATCACCATCACCATCACCATCACCATCACCATCACCATCACCATCACCATCACCATCACCATCACCATCACCATCACCATCACCATCACCATCACCACCATCATCATCATCATCATCATCATCATCATCATCATCACCATCATCATCGATCTTGGCACAGCCCCATTGTGGCACACCACTCACACGTTTTGTGACCCCATAGGGAGGTCCACCTAAGGCCCCAGTGGCGCAGCTCGCATGGTGCCGCCGCCCCATTTCGGCACACCCCTCACACGTTTCGTGGCCTCTATAGGGGGCTCCACATAAGGTCCCAGTGGCGCAGCTCGCATGGCGCCGCCGCCCCATTTTGGCACACCCCTCACACGTTTTGTGGCCTCTATAGGGGGCTTCACCTAAGGTCCCAGTGGCGCAGCTCGCATGGCGCCGCCGCCCCATTGTTGGCACACCCATCACACACGTTTCTTGGCCCCATAGGCAGCTCCACCTAAGGCCCCACTGGCGCAGCTCGCATGGCGCCGCCGCCCCATTGTTGGCGCATCCCTCACACGTTTCGTGGCCTCTATAGGGGGCTCCACCTAAGGTCCCAGTGGCGCAGCTCGCATGGCGCCGCTGCCTCATTGTTGGCACAGTTCTCACACGTTTCGTGGCCCCACAGGGAGCTCAAACTAAGGTCTCAGTGGCGCAGCTCGGATGGCGCCGCCGCCCCACTTTGGCACACCCCTCACACGTTTCGTGGCCCCATATGGGGGCTCCACTTCAGGTCCCAGTGGCGCAGCTCGCATGGCGCCGCCGCCCCGTTGTGGGCACACCCCTCACACATTTCGTGGCGCCACAGGGAGCTCCACCCAAGGTCCCAGTGGCGCAGCTCGCATGGCGCCGCCGCTTATTTTGGCACACCCCTTAGGCGTTTCGTGGCCCCATAGGAGCTCCATCTAAGGCCCCGGTGGCGCAGCTCGTATGGCGCCGCCGCCCCATTGTGGGCACACCCCTCACACGTTTCGTGGCCCAACAGGGCGCTCAAACTAAGGTCCCAGTGGCGCAGCTCGTATGGCGCCGCCGCCCCACTTTCGCACACCCCTCACACGTTTCGTGGCCCCATAGGGAGCCCCACTTCAGGTCCCAGTGGCGCAGCTCGCATGGCGCCGCCGCCCCATTGTTGGCACATCCCTCACACGTTTCGTGGCCTCTATAGGGGGCTCCACCTAAGGTCCCAGTGGCGCAGCTCGCATGGCGCCGCCGCCCCATTATGGCACACCCTTCACACGTTTCGTGGCCCTACAGGGAGCTCCGCCTACGGTCTCACTAGCGCAGCTCGCATGGCGCCGCCGCCCGCCGCCCCATTTTGGCACACCCCTCGGACGTTCCGTGTCCCCAGAGGGAGTTCCTCCTAAGGTCACAGTGGCGCAGTTTGCATCGAGTTCTTCCTGGTAGGGCCGCTGGAGGGCTTGCGGACGCAGCTGGAGCAGTTTGCCACTCGCACGAAACGGTGCAGGAGGGAGGCGGCGGCCCTCGCCAGGGAGCTGAGCCTCACTGAGTTTATCTGCGAGGCTTGACCTGAGGAGCGGCCCGCCCGAGCCTCGCCGTCTCTCGACGGTCTGACTGTTTGGCCTCGCGCCGCGGGCGACCCGCGCGCGTCGCTTGGACCCTCTCGGGTCGACCAGCGCGCGTCGCGGGAATTCCATGCTGCGCTCTGCCCAGAGCCTCGCTCGCCCCCGTCGTCGCTCTGCCCAGCGGCCACAGCCTTGCCTGCTTTCGGCCAGCCAGCTAGCTCTCTCTGCTCCGCGCAGCAGACGACCCGCGCGCGTCGCCGGGTCCCCGAGGGCTGTGTCCCATAAAGTAAGTGACGCGACTTTCTTCGGGCCCTCTCTTGCTTAGCGCGGCGGCGCCACTTGCCAACAGCTCCAGAGCGGGATGAGGTCCCTTACGGCTGGCCCCTGGCGCGTCACGGAGACGAGCTTGCTGCGCAACATTCGCGCGGGCACACGACGGAGGAGGAGCAAGATGATGATGAGGAGGATGGGGGCCGAGGAGGAGGATCGTATCTATTGGAGGATGGATGGTGAGCATCAGAAAGTCTAGAAGGGGATGATCGAATGATGCGACATGAGTGGAACAAGGATGAGGACGCCGTGGGCAACAGCCAGCTCGGGGAGACCCGCCGTGCAGAATATGGGGTCAGACTGGCGCTCGATGTGGGCCCGCACGCCGTCCACGGCATACAGTTCTGGGGGAACTGCAGATGTCGTGCGCGACGCATGGTGTTCATTCGGCCTGCATTTTCAAGCAATCCTTGCGTTGTCTCCGCAATGAGCTAAGGAACTCTCTAAGAGGGGCCTGGGACGCAACACATCTTGAACAGACAATGGATCCAGTCGAAGGCATCTGCCTTGCAACTGCGGAGTGCCCCAGAAAACTTGAGTTGACTCCATGTCAGCCTTCGGGTCAGGCGGTCCCAGGGGCCCCGTCGCACGCTCGCAGGGCGTAGCAGGCGCTGCATTTCCTCCGCCAGAGGGGGTGCGTTTAGCCAAACCCGACCGCACTGAACTTCCGACTGGTCTGCCTGGGCTTCAAGCTGACCCAGACGACAACAATTGGGACGTGCCCCACAAGTGGGCCTTGTTTCAATTATCTGCGAGTGGTGCAGGTGGTGAATGGGGAATCTGTTTTACGATGTAAACGATGCCGCCGCCCAAGGTATACCTGGGAGTCTGGATATAATCTGCGGCGTGATATCGACCCGGCCGGCCCAACCCAGGAATTCAGCAGTACAGCGGATTGCATGGTCAGCTTGTCCATGGATGCAGGCTGCGACTTCGAGATCGACCCAGGGTGTTTCCGATAACATGTGCTACGACATCGTAGGCTGAAGGTCTACATCGATGGCGGATTTCGAAGATGCGGATCGCCTGCGTTGGCCATGGTGGTGTACGCAATCGCTGGGCTGGAGGCTGTCGAGATGATGTGTACTGCACGGAAAATCTCAGGCGTAGGATCGTCGTTCTTGTCCGAAGCAGCTGATAATGGCTTGTAGGTGCATGCGGTTTTTTAACACATATGTGCACATATACATTTGTTTATCTACACATGTATTCGTTTTGTTGCCACGGTATTGAGATTCCTCCTCCTCCCTGTGCTCTCTTGTCTCTCCAGTGGCTGCGGCGTTCTCGAGGCATGCATCGGCGTTGATGCTGATCCCTGAGAGCTATTCGGTGCAGCCCCCTGGGGTCGTCATGAGCCTTCGACGTTATCACCGATAGCTTGCCTTTTCACCAAGCGTGGGTGACTGTGCAAGCGGAAGCCAGGAATAAAAGCAGGATGGGGTGGAGGGGGGAGTGAGGGAGGGGGGAAGTGGAGGCGAGGAGAGGACATGAGGGGACGGACGGCGGGAGGACGTGGGAGGAGCTCGGGAAGGAGGATGCAGAGGATCAGGCTAGTGAGTTAGGAGGACCAGCAGGAAGGATGGGGGAGGAAGGAGGAGGAAGGAGGATGCATTCGAGAGGAGGGGGAAGAGGTGGAGGAGGAGGATGATGAGGAGGAGGAGGCGATGGGCGAAGATAATTATGAAGGGCGGGACGCTGAGGATGATGTTGATGATTATGCGGAATATGTTGACGATGAGGTGATCGATGGCTAAGGATGGGGCGCACAACGATTGAGGCAGGACGAGGTGGACGACGTTGATAACAACGGTGGACAGGAAGGAGGAAGGGGGGGATGAGATGATTGGGAGGATAATTCGGAAGAGGAGGACCTCCTCCTCAGGTGGAGGAGGAGGCACAGGATTTAGTTTAGCGCCCTTAAGGTCAGGCGTAACCCCTTATAGGTCGGGCGGCGCACTTAACCTCTCCCACCCTAGTAAGTCGGTGCTGGTGACGTTTGGGAAGCCCCACCTTATACGGATTGGTACAGTGTACCTTCCCATTGCGCCTGAACTTGTAGCTGGTATGCGTCCGCCACATGTCTCGGCAGCCGCCTCTGCTGGTTCAGACTTGGGAATGCCAGGTGATTCTGCGAGTGGGTGTAGCTATTCCAGCCTACTGGAGCATGTATGTGAGGGATATGGCGGTGTGTAAGATGGTGTGCACGGCACCCCACACAGGTTTTTCGACAGGAGGGGGTAATCCCTACAACACGCTGCTGTAGATACTCAGGACAGGGACGTCCGCCTGACAAGTTGGCCCACAGGAGCAGCACCATATCCTAAGAAGGTGGACTCAGACAGACGATTAGTTCACCTCAGGAACAGGGTGCGCTCTCGGGCCATTGGGACCAACTGATCTGCTATGCTACATTCCTGGATGCACAATCCCACGATGTGGGGTAGGTCATGCCCTGCGCGCTCCATGCATGTCTCTGTCCAGCACAACCGAAGCAGGACTGTGAATCAGGACGGTGCAGTATCTCTACTGTTCTCAGTCTCAACGTGAAGTATCTTTTTTTCCGGCGTACGTGGAGAGTCCGCTACGACCTAAGAATATAGGGTGGCAGTAGACGGACGATTTGTATCACCTCAGAGTCCAAAGGATCCATGTGGAGAAGGAGGAATGGCATGAGGAAGAGGAGGAGGAGGAAGAGGAGGAGGAGGAGGAGGCGGAGTTGGAGGATATGCAGACTCACAAGAGGAGGGCTGCAGGATGAGGATCAGTCGGGGAGGAGGGGAGGAGGATGAGGAGGAGGAGGAGGAGGAGGAGAAGGAGAAGGGAGGAGACCGGGGATGTGAGGAGTTGCATCCAGGGTGGAGGATGGGGAGGAGGAGCAGGAGGAGGAGCAGGAGGAGGAGCAGGAAGAGGAGAGGAGGAGGAGGAGGGAGGAGGAGGAGGAGGAGGAGGAGGAGGAGGAGGAGGAGGAGGAGGAGTGGGTAAGAGTAGGACAGCTATGCTGGAGGACGGGAGATTCGATGGATGGTGGGGCAGAGCAGGGTCATGAGGATTACGAGCTGAGGAGCTGTGAGGGGAAGGAAGAGGGCGTCGGAGTGGGAGTCGGGGCCGGAGCCGGTGCTGGAGTCGGAGTCGGAGTTGGAGTTGGAGTCGTCGTCATTGTCGTCGTCGTCGTTGTTGTTGTCGTCGTCAGAGGAGGAGGAGAAGGAGGAGGAGAGGAGGAGGAGGAGGAGGAGGAGGAGGAGGAGGAGGAGGAGGAGGAGGAGGAGGAGGAGGAGGAGGAGAGAGTAGGAGGAAGATGAGGAGGAGGAGGAGGAGGAGGAGGAGGAGGAGGAGGAGGAGGAGCTGGGAGGGGGGAAGGAGGGGGCAGGCAGGATGCGGAGCTCCCGCCCCTGGCTCCGCCCCCGCCCGCCAGGCGGCGCTCCCTCGCCACTGTGCTGCTGCTCTCGGTGCGGTGCTTCCCAACGACGGGCTCGGAGACTTACGTGGACATGCCGGCGGTGCGGGGGGGGGGGGCCGCTCATTTCTCGAAGTAGAATAACAACGGCATGAAGGTCAACTTTCTGCGGTCCGCGCGGATTTCTTGGATCGGCGCTGGGCCCCCTGGCGGCGCCTCGGGCGCCGCCCCTAGAGCGCTCCGCGTGCGTCGGCGGGGATTTCAGCACAGATCCAAGAAATCAGCGCGGACCTCCAACAGTTTACGTTGATGCAGTTTTTTCTTCCTGCATTTTTCCGCGGGCGAGTTGTGCGCACCGTACCGAGTTAGCCACTCCCGAGGCGTCGTCGATGTTCGTTTCAGGAATGGTACGGTGCATATTTTCACGGCCCCCAGAGCAGAAAATTGTGCACCGTACTGCTTGGGAGCGGGGTCCTCAACGGAGTGCAGGCATGGCACGGTGCTTGGGCGCCGTTCTCTTATTTTGTCCCTGGACCTCCAGCAGCCTTCGTCGGTCCCCGGCCTCAGGTCCAATACGGTGGCCATGCTCAGGCCTGCGGGGCAGCGAAGGGCTGGTCCAGGACGGAATCGGCCACCGAAGCGAGGCTCGAGACCTTTGGGGCCCGCCGATCGGAAACGTCAAGCCATCGAGGGTCTTTTGGTCCTCCTCCTCCTCCTCCTCCTCCTCTCCTCCTCCTCCTCCTCCTCCTCCTCCTCCTCCTCCTCCTCCTCCTTCCTCCTCCTCCTACCCTCCTCCCGCAGCCTCCCTCCTTCCGTTTCGTGGCAGCACTGCGCTGCGGCTGGTGGCATGGCACTTTGGCATCGCATCCTCCTCCTCGTCGTGCTCATCCTCTCACTACCCCTCCCCCTCCTGGAGTCCCCATGCCCCCCACCCGAGCCCGTGGTGTTGCATCCCTGGGCAGCATTTCTCAGCCTGCCGACTGTTCTGACTGGCCGCGCGGGCTGATTTGGATTACGCCTGTGGCGAGAAGGTCACGACACAGGCTGCGCCTCTGTCCCCAAGGCCATCGGGGCCGAGCCAGGTGCCCGCCGCGCAGTCCGACGCACATCGGCGGACGCCATGCTCGTTTCAGGGAGGTCGCTCACAGTGCGTGACCTCCATCTCAGGCTTCACTGTTGGCCTCCTCGGTCCTGCCCTACGGCTCGCGAAAGCTCTACTCCCTCCCGAGCTCCCTGAAGCTCCTCAGGGCCCCGCGACCTCTCCCCCTCCCCAGCCCTTGGCTGGTGGAGCGCGGGGGCGAGGGGGAGGGAGGACAGCAGCGGCGGGGAAGACATCCCTGGACTCGTCTTCGAAGAAGAAACTTTCGGAGATCTGCGCAGATTTATTGGATCAGCGCTGGAGCCCCCTGGCGGCGCCTCCGGCGCCGCCCTTGGCGCGCTCCGCCCGCCAGGGAGGGGGTGTCAGCGCAGATCCAGGAAATTTGCTCGGACCGTCAAAAGTGTATGTTTGTGTTTTTTCTTATTCCTCTCTATATATGCACTTATGTTTAGTTGTAGACCCCTCGCCTTAACCCGAGCCCGTTTTCGTGGTCGGCAACGAACGCTTTGGCTTCGAAGCCAATGGTTCTTGTTATTTTGGCACGGTCCAGCTTCCGCGCTATGCTTTTGGGACCCAGGACAGCTAGAACCATCGCGAGAGATTCTGATCGTGGGCTGTCGAAGCCGAGCATTGCGAGCAGGCTCCCTTGCTTTGAGCTTTGCGGGAGTAATTCGTACACTTGCTAGTTAGAGCCCGTCTGCTTATTGTATGATTGGATGTGCCACTTATTGACGTATAGTCCTGTGTTGGTGTTGTGTTGCTGGCGTAGCTCGTTGAGCTGTGGAGTGAGGCTTGCGCAGCGCGGCTGATGACCCTGTCTTCGAACACCTGTTCATCGGAGGGTGGGGGGTGAGACCGAAGGTTGGAGGTTAGGTGGTGAGACCTGTCTTCGAACACCTGCTTATCGGAGGTTGGAGGGTGGGACCGAAGGTTGGAGGTTGGGTGGTGAGACCTGTTTTAGAACACCTGTTTATCGGAGGTTGGAGGTTGGGGGTGAGGTGCGCAAGCCAGGAAACCGTGTCACTTCGTGCGTGAAGGCGCGTGCTGGCGAGGCGAGGTGACGCTGCGCGTCTTCGTCCACTGGCCAGGGCCACGTCAGACGAACAAGAGGCGCCCTTGACCTGGTGGGGGTTGACAGTTGTCCCGATGCTTGTCCCGATGCTTGTCCCGATGGTGTGGTTCCGTAGACACGCAAATGGCGATGTAGGCAACGGCGATGTAGGCTTCGGGAATGTAGGTGGGGGGTGGTTCGCGGCCAACCCAATTGCAGAACACGCTTGTTCCTGTTTTCCAGCAACTTGTTCTGCGCGACTTCGGCGTCGCAGCCATCAGATTCCCAACTCCGCCGCTGACCAGCATCGCGGTCAGCGTGGCCTCGGTGGTTGCCCCCGGCGAGTGTGTGGTCGGCGTCCGGGGGGAGCGCGCCGCTGCTGGCCAGGCCTGGGACCCCGTGCTGGGGGCCGAGGCCCCCTCGTGCTCACCGCCTTCGCCCCTCCGGACAGCGCCGACGGTCAGAATCGGTGCCCGCGCACATACGCATGTCTTAGACATGCAGATGCGTCTCTCTCTCTCTCTCAATCTCTCTCTCTCTCTCTCTCTCTCTCTCTCTCTATATATATATATATATGTATATCTCCGGTGTACTCATGTAACATATAACACCACGTCCATGGGGCGTTCCAAGAAGGGCCTCGCCTTCGAGGATCGAAGGTGTTGCCATCTCTTCCTCGGCGGAAGGCCGCGGGAGGCCAGCGGAAGGCGGCAGAGGTAGAGCGAGGTTGCCTCCACCGGCGGGAGTACAAGATGCGTCCCCAAGAGGTGGACTCGTTTTAGGGGCTTAGGGTTTCCGGGATCGGCCAAACGAGCATAGGTCTTTACATTCGTTCACACACATATCATGTATGTGTGCATATGTAAACAGAGGAAGATCCATCTGTGTGCATGCGTCCTGCGTGCATGATCTTGCGACGTGCGGTCGCAGACCCGCTGGGACGGCGGGAACAGCCCGTGCACAGGTCAGCAATGACGCCTACCTGGACCTGTGCCCAGGCCCCCCGTCCGCCCTTCAGGACCCGGCGGCGCGCAGGGCCCCCAACTCGGTGGCGAGCCAGGGGGGGGGCGGGGAAGTGCGCAGGGGCGGGCCTTCTCAGAGGGCTCAGCATTCCCCCGCCACTTTGCGAAGTCCTTTCCAAGGCTTCCCCTGGAGGCACGGGCTTCTCGGAAAGCAGGTGGGCTTCTGAGGAGCCCCGCCGCCCTCGAGAGGGTCCTCTCCTTCTCACCTGCCCCCCTCGCTCGCCGCCGACGAGCATTGGCGTTCGAGGTCGGGGTTTTGGGTACAGTCGGGGCCCTGAAGAAGGAACCCTTTTCGTTGGGGAGGGGCTCGGTGTTCCTTCGTTTTTTTGCAGTTCGCCTTTGGTTCTGCTTAGGGCTTGGATGGGAAATCGAAGTTTAACTTGTGGGAAAAAAGGGGCCTCGTCCCGACTGTATTTTGATTTCTCGCTGGGGCTCGGGGAGGCCCCTCGTCGCCACGGGGCTGGGCGACTGCTGCCCCCCGAGCCTGGAGGGGCGCCCAGACATCTAGCGCCTCGAGGCGGTGCCGGGTTGTTGTTGCGCCAGTTTGGGCGTCTGGGGGCCGGCTTCGGGGCCGGAGGCCGTCAAAGGCAAACGAGGATGAGAGATCGGCCTCGGGAAAGTGGTCGAGAGGTCCGGGTAAAACAGGGCTAGGATCGGGATAAATCGCTCCAGAGCGTTCCGGAGCGCTCTCAGAGCGTTCCGGAACGCTCTGGAGCGGCCACGGCGCCCAATACAGCCTCCAAACCCGCCGATTCTCAGAGATTTCGAGTTATCCCGATCCGATTTTGTCCCGATCGTCGCGTCGTTTTACCGGGGGGCCCTCGCATCGAGCACGCTCGACGATCTTGATGTTTGGGAAAGGGGGCATGGCAGCCGCGTGACGACGCAGACGTGTGTCTGTCGCAGATGCACGTGGAGCGCTGTGCACCGAGGACCGTCAAGGGCTCCAGCGCTTTTCAGCGGAGGTCATCTCTGAATAACCCAATTCATGTCCACACCGCCTCCAATAATTATTCCCTGACGCACGCATCTTGCCGTTGCAATGCCCATTCGCGCTTGAGGCTGGTTCGCTTGACCAACATTTTGGATCACATCAGGCATACAACCTTTCCTTGGCTGATTGTTGGCTGCAAAACAGAGGTAGACCTGCACTGCGTTACCCAACGTTCCATGTAGAATAAGTTGGTTGCTCGTGGGCGAGGGGATCGTCAATATCACAAGCAGACGCTATATATATATATATATATATATATATTTCTCTCTCTCTCTCTCTCTTTCTGCCGCCAGTATCGTGCGCCACAGGAAGCTGGGGGCCTGCTGGAAGCCCTCCCTTGGGATCCGACGGCGCGACAAAAAGGCAAACTCCAGGCAAAAATCACGGCCAGAGCCCCAGACACCCTCTTTCTGCCGCATTTTTTCCGAGGGAGGGCTCTCGGGGCCCGGAGGCCCGGGTGCCAGGGCCCCGCCTGTGGAAGGTCAGGAGGGAAACAAAAAACACACACAGACAGAATTAATCGTCGAGTCCCAGGAAAATATGGGAATTGGGCGGGAAGACAAAAACCCGGAAAACATGGGAAAATGTAGGGATTCATCCTATTTGTGTGTGTGTTTCTTTGTGTGTCCTGGGGCCCCTTCAGAAGGGCCCCCCCCCTGCTTTCCCGGGAGGCCCCGCCCGCCGAGCTGGCCTCGCTGGATCGTTCTCCCCCCGGGCCCGCTGCGGGCAGCGTCTCCGAGGCGGCCCCCGGCCGTGGCAGCGGCAGCCCAGCCACGAGGGCCCCGCAGCGTTCGAAACCCAGCGTCCTGAAGCCCTTGGAACATTTTCGGCCTCGGTGCTCGTCCCAGGGAACCTCTTCCTCCACCTCCTCCTTCTGCTCCTCCTCCTCCTCCTCCTCCTCCTCCTGCTCCTCCTCCTTCTCGTCCTCCTCTTCCTTCTCCTCCTCCTCCCCCTCCTACTGCTCCTCCTCCTTCTCCTTCTCCTCCTGCTCCTCCTTCTGAAACCTCTTTTTCCCGTGCATATACAACCCGCGAGCTTTGGCAACCGTGTCCCACACTTCGGTAGCACTGCGCAGCGTGCCGAAGACGTCGTGGGTGGCCGTGCCGCAGGCTCGTCCTCCTGCGCGCTTTTTTGACGGTCTCCGGGGGCGGGCAGAGGCCCCGGGGGTGCCGAGAATATGCGCAGGCAGCTTCCGTCGCGAATCTTTTCACGGCGTGAAGGGTCCGGCTCTGGTGTCAGAGTCGGCCCCCGGCTTTTCCCAGGGTGCGTGCCGGCCAGAATTGCAAGGCGGATCCAGACAGGGCGGCGAGAAGCCTCCCAGAGGCCCCCAAATGTTGCAAAACGTGAAATTTGCCAGATCGTCCTCGTTGTCGTCGTCGTCGGCGTCGTCGTCGTCGTCGTCGTCGCCGTCGTCGTCGTCGCCGTCGTCGTCGTCGTCGTCGTCGTCGTCGTCGTCGTCGCGCAACCTCTTTTTGTCGGGGGTTCGGAAAGGGGGGTTTGGCGGATTGGTTGGCCCAAGGTGGCCACCTTGGTTGGGCCCCCCCCCCTGGTGTCAGGGAACCCAGATGGAGGCCCACTTCGCCTTCTCCCAGGGACCGTGCAGAGCAATTCTCCTCCATCCCGCCCTCTGTCCCTTCCCAGAAGTCCGCGGCCCCGGTGGCCTCGACCTTTCCACGGGGGTTAGTGTTTCTCCCCCCCCGGGCCGTTTCTGATGCCGCCTGGGCCCGAAGCCGCCCCCCAGAAGCCAAGCTATAGGAACACATCCATGGCTGAAGAAATCGCAGATCTCCGATGTGTTGTTTATGGTTTCAATGCGGGGTCCCCAGAAGTCCCGACCCTTTCCCCCTGACCCGCTCTTCGTCCCGGGTCGATTCCTGCCGGCCCCCGTGCCCGGCGAGGGCCCTCAGAGGCCGAAGATTGAACGAAATTTGTCGTCGTGATGTTTTCGCGACCCGATCGGGTCGCGAAACCATCACGACATCCCAGACTCCCTCGAGGGAGAGTCTGGAAATCAATCCTTGGGCCGTCTCGGCATACAGTCCAGCCGCATAGTACGGATGATCGACTTCCCCAGGGTATCCTTGCATCCTTGCTTCTTCGGCCACCGTCGGCCCGTCCTCCACCACTTTCGATGGCCAGCCCCGCTCGAAGAACCTCGCATCCTTGCACCTCGACCGCGCTCCAAGGCCCTTGCATCCTTTCGATCCGCACGGGCTCCGAGGGCCCTTGCACCCTCACCGCGCGTCCCGACTGCATTTTTTTCCCAACCATTCTTTGGTGTTGGGTCCTCGTTTTGAAGAAACGGTGCCCCGCGTTCCTCCTCTCCTCCTCTCCTCCTCCTCCTCCTCCTCGCCCTCCTCCCTCCAGGGTTCGCATGCCTCCCCACCACACATTTCGGCACACCCCTCACACGCTTCGTGGCCCCATAGGGAGCTCCACCGAAGGCCCCAGTGGCAGGGTTCGCATGCCTCCCCACACCCATCTCGGCACACCCCTCACACGTTTCGTGGCCCCATAGGGAGCTCCACCGAAGGCCCCAGTGGCAGGGTTCGCATGCCTCCCACCACCCATTTCGGCACACCCCTCACACGTTCGTGGCCCCATAGGGAGCTCCACCGAAGGCCCCAGTGGCAGGTTCGCATGCCTCCCACCACCCATGCGCGTTTCGTGGCCCCCCAAGGGTTCGCATGCCTCCCACCACGGCACACCCCTCACACGTTTCGTGGCCCCATAGGGAGCTCCACCGAAGGGTCCCAGTGGCAGGGTTCGCATGCCTCCACCACCCATGCGGCACACCCCTCACACGTTTCGTGGCCCCATAGGGAGCTCCACCGAAGGCCCCAGTGGCAGGGTTCGCATGCCTCCCCACCACCCATTTCGGCACACCCCTCACACGTTTCGTGGCCCCATAGGGAGCTCCACCGAAGGCCCCAGTGGCAGGGTTCGCATGCCTCCCCACCACCCATTTCGGCACACCCCTCACACGTTTCGTGGCCCCATAGGGAGCTCCACCGAAGGCCCCAGTGGCAGGGTTCGCATGCCTCCCCACCACCCATTTCGGCACACCCCTCACACGTTTCGTGGCCCCATAGGGAGCTCCACCGAAGGCCCCAGTGGCAGGGTTCGCATGCCTCCCCACCACCCATTTCGGCACACCCCTCACACGTTTCGTGGCCCCATAGGGAGCTCCACCGAAGGCCCCAGTGGCAGGGTTCGCATGCCTCCCCACCACCCATTTCGGCACACCCCTCACACGTTTCGTGGCCCCATAGGGAGCTCCACCGAAGGCCCCAGTGGCAGGGTTCGCATGCCTCCCCACCACCCATTTCGGCACACCCCTCACACGTTTCGTGGCCCCATAGGGAGCTCCACCGAAGGCCCCAGTGGCAGGGTCCGCATGCCTCCCCACCACCCATTTCGGCACACCCCTCACACGTTTCGTGGCCCCATAGGGAGCTCCACCGAAGGCCCCAGTGGCAGGGTTCGCATGCCTCCCCACCACCCATTTCGGCACACCCCTCACACGTTTCGTGGCCCCATAGGGAGCTCCACCGAAGGCCCCAGTGGCTGCGTTCGCATGCCTCCCCACCACCCATTTCGGCACACCCCTCACACGTTTCGTGGCCCCATAGGGAGCTCCACCGAAGGCCCCAGTGGCTGCGTTCGCATGCCTCCCCACCACCCATTTCGGCACACCCCTCACACGTTTCGTGGCCCCATAGGGAGCTCCACCGAAGGCCCCAGTGGCGCGGTGCCTATGAGAAGAGGGGCCTAGTTTGCGTGCCCCCTCCTTCGTTTCATATCCGTGCGGTACTCGCAGCTGCATATGGTTGGGTCCTTCGCCGTGCTATTTTTTTACAAGCGCAAGCGGGCCCCGTGGCGAAACGCAAGGAGGAGAGGGGGATGAGAGGGGGGAGGGTGAAACCGTCGGCAGCCAGCCCCTGGGCTGCGCCCCTCACCGTCGCGTCCCGACTGCACGAGCTGACCCCGCGGCCCTCCGACCCCCCGCGCGTGGCTGGAGGAAGCCCAGGCCGCCTGCGACGCGGAGCCGAGCTGCTCGGGCGTGGTCCTGTCGCGCGCCCTAGCGGCCAGCGGCGTCCGCCCTGGGGGGCGGCGCGCAGGGGGTGGCGGGCCAGGCGCCCCGATCGTCTTCGGGAAGGGGGGTGTGGAGGAGGAGGAGGAGGAGGAGGAGGAGGAGGAGGAGGAGGAGGAGGAGGAGGAGGAGGAGGAGGAGGAGGAGGAGGAGGAGGGAGGAGGAGGAGGAGGAGGAGGAGGAGGAGGAGGAGGAGGAGGAGGAGGAGAGAGGGGAGGAGGAGGAGGAGGAGGAGGAGGAGGAGGAGGAGGAGGAGGAGGAGGAGGAGGAGGAGGAGGAAGAGGGCGGCGCCTCCCGCGAGGCGTCGGGCGTCGCCCTCCATGCCCTCGGCCGCAGGGGGGGGGCCCGCGCGGCAGACACTCGGCGTCGCCAGCGGACTGTGAGGGCCGCGCCGGGCGGCCGCGGCGCCCCGACCGGGCGGGCGCCGCCAAGTCGATCGGAAGGAAGGAAGGGAGGACTGGGGGGGGGACGGAAGGAAGGAGGCGAGGAAGTACCACCCGAGAGCGCGATTCTTGCATGACTCGTGAGGAAGTCCCGCGCGAAAGCGCGATTCCGAAATGACCCGTGAGGAAGTATCGGGCGGGCGTCGCTGTTGTTGCAAACCGGGCGCCAAGGACCACATTGTTTTTTCTTTTGCGAAAAGAACGAGGCCAGGGAGGAGCACTTTCATTGAAAAACACATGGTGCACCGAAGAGGGGATCAACAATAGTTGCTCCTTTTCAAAATCAACAACAAAAACCGACGACGACACCAACAACAACACACATACCAGTCACCGAACATTCCGATACTTCGGCTGGCCATATGATCAACGAGCCCAGGCGGGGCAAACACATTCGGCGACAGCGCCGAGTGAACAAAACATTGGTACCAGCAACAGAAACAGCAGAAACGGCAACGACAGCACAACAAACAACACGACTGGCATCAAAAGCAACGACATCAACAACATTACATCTCATAGCAATCACAACATGCTTGTATACTAAGCACTCCTCGCAGCCATGCTTGGTTGATGGATCTTTTGGCGTGCTGTGGTATGACCACAACGAAAGCCATCAACAATCATAGCACATCTTGTGACCCGTGCAACAGCAACGACAGCACCAATAGCAGATATGATCAACAACAGCAAAGCTATAATAGCGACATCAAGCCACAAACACCACACAACGACACCACCAACGCCGCCATAACATAACGCCGCGACCAACACATATTCCGTGACATACGAACGCCGCCTTCGAGACGACCCCGAGATTGCCCCAAGATGATATCGTGAACCCTCCAGCCTGTAGTTGAGCCCAAGATTGCCCCAACGATGCGTTTCTCATTCCTGCCCGTGCATTCGGCTTGGGCCGATCAGACGGATGGGGGTGCTGGCCATCCCCCTCGTCCTTCTCGTCGTCGTCGTTCTCTTCCTCCTCCCCTCGTCGTCATCGTCGTCGCTGTTCGCCTGGCTTCCCCGCCCCCCGCACGCGGGGAGAAGCGGCCATCTTCCGGACAAGTTCGCGGGAGAGTTGAAAGCATCATTGGTATGGAGAAATTGTAAGAGAGAGAGAGAGAGAGAGAAAGAGAGAGAGAGAGAAAGAGAGAGAGAGAGAGAAAGAGAGAGAGAGAGAGAGAAAGAGAGAGAGAGAGAGAGAGAAAGAGAGGGACAGATAACAGAGAGACAGAGAGACAGAGAAACAGGAACTCGTTTCTTTATTGCTTGGGTAGGAGTCTAGGCGTCTGGTCCGCAGTTGTCGTCGTTGTCGTCGTGGCTCTTCGTTCATCGCTCGTCGCTCATCATCGTCGTGCGCGCGGACGCGGGTGAAACTTGTTTTATATTTTGGCAGATAACGGCAATCATGTGGGGGGGTGGGGGGGTCGATGACGTCACGTTTCGCGCTGGCGGCGTCTGGGAATGCTCAGGAATGACGGAGGACGGGTAGCACCATCATGTAGGTGGCGATCTGCACCACAACGCCTGCGTACACCACAATGCCTGCGTGCACCACAGCGCCTGTGTACACCACATCGCGTATGTACACCACAGCAGCCGCGTGCAACACTGCGTCAGTTTTTGCCACCGTGCCTGCGGGCACAACAGCTCTTGTGTACACCACAGCTCTTGCGTAAATCACAGCAGCCGTGTGCAACACAACACCAGTGTACACCACAATGCCTGCGTGCATTGCACTGCTTAAGTACATCACGGCGCCTGGGTGCACCACAACTACCGCGTGCAACGCAATACCACTGTTGCATATAGAATGTTCGAAGGAATCCTCATGACAAGTTGGAATTCTTATGGTTTCCACAGAAAACAATATAAAATGAATCTCTATGGCCAAAGGCGCGCCGCTGGAATCTACAAGTCCTCCCGAGTCCGCCCGCATCACCCTGACTCCTCCCATCTGCGTCCAGGAGGCTCCAGCTGAATTGGCCGTCCGAGAACCAAGTGGGCCGATTCAATCGACCATTCTGCGGTGCACGCTGACATGCGCACGCGCGGTGTAGCACCAGTCCGCACGACAGGGGGTAAGGATGATGAGG